TGCTGCTTCCAGCACAGGAGATGGTGACCGACTGACCCAGAGCCCCAGACGCAGAGGGACGCTGAGTCAGGGCTGACTGGGCCCAGGACCCTGGAAAGAGGAAAAATACACTATGGTGAGTTTACTGTTGGCATCTCAATGAGCCTGAGGAGGAGACAAAGGATCAGCCCAGATGTCCCCATGGTCCCTTCCCTGGAGGCCTCACCTGTGCCCTGAGTGAGGAGGGTGAGGAGGAGCACAGTCCAGGCCATGGTGGAAATGCCTCAACAGCACTGCCTTCTGACACCCCAACCCTGGGCTTGACTCCCCCAGACCTCCTTATCCCTTCTTTCTACCTCAGAGTTGGGAGGGGCCTCCATGCAAATCTGCTTCCTGCACCTGCCTCTCCTCATCCCTTCTGACCTGGTCCTTGATTCTGGATATTTCTGCATCCTTTGTTAAAAGAACTTACTCATGGATTAAAACTCTTTAACATGTTCTGAGGCAGGACAGACTCAGCCTATGACACTTGCAGAACTGGATCCAGCCCAGGGGTATTCCCCCCTTTCCTGTTATGGAGATGTGGTAGTTCCTGGGTGAGAAATCCCAGGACGCCAGGATGGCACTCTGTGCTGTGTGGGGCGATGTGAGGACAGGGTCCCAGACTGGCTGATAGAGATCCCCTTGCTTCATTTCCCTGGTATCAGGGGAAAGCAAAGGACCACTTGGTTCCCTCAACCATTAGTCCCCTCAGTTAGGAGGGGTCTTCAGGAATCACTCTACCCTCTGTCTCTGCAGTGGTTTGAGACTGAGGCCTGAGGCTCAGCTTTTAGAAGGTATTTTCTTGGGGGCAAAACCACTACGAGACACAGAGGGGCTCAGAGGGAAGCAGCTCTTTAAATTTCATCCAGGACAGCACTAGTCATAGCAAAGACCTTCCCAAGTTCAGGTGCTCACTGCCCCCTGATGGCCTCAGATGGTACAGCCCAAGCACCAGGGAAGGCAGCTGAGTGGGAGCTGGAAATCCCTCTTCTGCTCCCCTCCCCTCTTCCCTCATTCCCTGTCCAGCTCAGTACCTGGCCCCTGATCCCTTCCTTTTCCCTCTAAGTTCAGTTCTCTTGTCTATTAACTTCCTCCAGAATGGAATGTGTCACCTGCCATGCCAGGTGGGCCATGGGTCTCCTCAGGACTATCTAGCATGTCCCAACACAGCCTCACAGGATTATTGCTTGTGAGGCTTCTGTGGGCTCAGGGCTGAGGAAACATTAGATGTGAAATATAACCAACCCCAGTAGGAAGGGCAGATGAGAAAAATGAGACGTGGTGAAGATAGACTGGCTTCTCAATGTGTGGAAAGAAAAAATACTACCTGAGGAAGAGAAAGCTCTTGTGATTGAGAAAGACTTCAAGAAAAGCAGGAGCTGAAGTTTGAGGAGGTGGGAGAAGGGCAGTGGGGTCAGAATTTGCCTGAGGGCCCCTCTCCAAGGACCTCTCCTCAGAGCATGTTTTGGTGTCACGGGGAAGAGGGGACTTTTCTTCCTATTCTGCTCTTCACACTCATCAAGACAACCTCACCTCAGTGCTGTGAGACTTCTTGAGGTCAAGTCTCTTCCATCCACAGAGAGTTGCTTCATCTAGTGTGTTTTTCTAGGTTTGAAGTGTGTCTCTTTTATGCAGCATAAATATGGGTCTTGTTTTTTTTAATCCATTCAGGCACCCTATGCCTTTTAATTGGAACATTTAGTCCACTGACATTTAAAGTAGTATTGATAAGTATGTACTTACTTTCATTTTTTAAATTTCTTTTCTTGGTGTTTTAGTAGTTCTTCTCAGTTCCTCTCTTCTTCTCTTGCTCTCTTCCCTTGTGGTTTGATGGCTTTCTTTAGTGTTATGGTTGAGTTCGTTTCTCTTAGTTTTATGTGTAATTATTATAGGTTTCTGGTTTGTGATTACCATGGAGTTCATATACATCAACCTACGTATATAGCAATCTATATTAAGTTGATGGTCTTTTTAGTTTGACTTCTACCTGAAAGCTCTACTCTTTAACTCCCGTCCCCCCACATTTTATGTTTTTGATATCATATCTAACCTCTTTTTTGTGTGTTTGTATCTGATACCCTCTTATCATGGAAATAGGTAGTTTTTCCCATTTGTGGTCTTCTCTTTCCCCCTTAGATATGTCCTTTAGTATTTCTTGTAGAACTGGATTCTTGGTGAAAAACTCCTTTATTTGTTGCTTGTCTGAGAAACTTTTTATCTCTCCTTCCATTTTGAATGATAACCTTGCTGGGTAGAGTATTCTTGGCTGTAGGTTTCTTCCTTTTAGCGTTTTAAATATATCGTGCCACTCTCTTCTAGCCTGTAAGGTTTCTGCTGAGAAGTCAGCTGACAGCCTTATGGTGGTTCCTTTCTATGTATCTTGTTGGCTTTCTCTTGTGGCTTTTAGGATTCTCTCTTTATCTTTAATCATGGACATTTTAATTTTGATGCATCTTGATGTGGGGATCTTTGGATTTATCTTATTTGGTGCTTTCTGTGCTTCCTGTACCTGGAAGTCTGTTTCCTTCCTAAGGTTAGGGAAGTTTTCAGTTATTATTTCTTCAAATAGATGCTCTACCCCTTTGTCTCCCTCTTCTCTTTCTGGGACACCCATAACACGATGTTAGTGTGCTTGATGTTATCCAGAGGTCCCATAGACTGTCCTCACTCACATTCATTCTTTCTTCTTTTATCTGTTCAGCTTAGGTCATTTCTTCTAGTCTTTCATCCAGCGCACTGCTACATTTTTCTGTATCCGCTACTCTGCTTTCGAGTCCCTCTAGTGAATTTTTCATTTCCAGTATTGTATTCTTCATTTCTGATTGGTTCTTTTTTCTATCTTCCATTTCTTTGTCGACGTTCTCAATAAGCTCATCCATTCTTCTCCCAAGATCAGTGAGTATCCTTAACACTCTTTGTTTGAAGTCTCTGTCAGGTAGGTAGACCCAGTCTCTCCAAGGCAGGAGCCCCACACACTCCACCAATGCCCCACACTCTCCACCTGCTCCTTGTGCACACCTCACCCCACAGAGGTAGACCCACTTGCCAGGCTGTGGAGAATCCAGTCACCAACCTATGCAGGCCCACAAATTGCCTGAGGGCTTGTTGTTGGGTGGGGCCAGTCCCTAGGGTGGGCTGCCTGCCCTGGCCAACTGGATTAAATCCATGCTCTAGTGGGTGCGTCAGACCCTGCAAAGCATGTCACACAGAGAATTACAATGGCATCTGCCAGCCTTTGTGTCTGCATGGCCACACCAGATCACAACAATGGCCGCCACCAATGTCCCAGTCCCTGGAGAGGTCTCACCTCTCACCAAGATGCACTCAGAGCCTATCAGGTGAGTCTCTTTTCATCAGAGGATTGTGCACCTTTCTTTCTGGTGATCTTATGTTGCTCTCTGAGATTGCTGAATTCTTGCGTGGGCCCTTTCAAAGCAGGCTTTAATTTCTTTGCGAACCAACTTTTCTGAGGGTATTCCCCAATGTGGTTAGTAGCAAGCAAAGTCAGATATTATGCCACTCATCTCGGTTGTGATACGTCCAATAATGCCTACAGTGGGAGTGCTCCCTGGCTCAGGGCCTACTCCTCCAGGGAAGGATGCATACTTTTGGGCTGTTCCCGGGCGGCCATGAAGCACTATGGCTTGTGAAGGCGGCCATTTTTTCTCCCCAGAAGGGAATTTCTGCCTCTTCCACCTCAGTTAGGATTGTCATTTCTTGCAGGGGTTCTCCTTATACGGTTTTCAGTTCTCTCTCAGGGGTAATTTTTCCGAGATAAGTTGTAAACTGGCTGTGTCCGTGGGAGGAGGTGAGTTCAGAGTCCGCCTAAGCTGCCATCTTGACTGCTCCCCTTGCTAGTTTGTTTTTATAAAAAGGAATGGGTTTGGGGTAAAGTCTCAGCAATACTGAATGTACAAATTATGGAAAATTTTCAAAGTAATTCCATTTTCCTGTAGAAAAATACCCAACCTCATTACCTAGGCTGTCAGTCACCATGTGATCTGTGTGCCACCCACCATTAGCCTTCATGTCTCTCTAATCAAGACCCAGTTGGTGATTCTTCAGCCAGGGTGGATTTTTTTTCTGGTCCTGCAATTGGCCATATTGTTGCTACCTCAGTGCCTTTGCACAGGCTGCTCCTCTGTCTGAAATTCTCATGTCCTTATATTCACATGTCTGGATCTGTCTGAGGACGCAGAAATGTGCACCAGCCACCCACTCAATAATGCCTGTTTGTTGAATGAATCGAGGAGAGAGCTCAGGTAGGGAAGCTAAGCTGCACCATTTCCCCAAAGAGTTCCCAGACCACATTCAGCAGGTTAGAAAAAAAATTGCCCACTGGGGTCTGAGAGAGGACCTGAAATACAAATAGGTGTTGATGCAGCTTCCTCATATGTCCCCCAGCAAATGTCACACTTGGTGCTCTGCTTGAACTCTCTTGCTCTCTCTCTGCAGTGGCCCATGGCTTAGAGGAGGAAAGGGGCATAGGATCTGATCTTTCCTATGTTATCCCTTTCTGGAAAGCAGGATATGGCTGCAGAGAAGGCTGAGGACTTACTCTACCCTGCTCTGAAGGCTGAGGTGGAGGAGAGGATTCCAATCTATCTGAGAAAATGTCCAGTAGATCCCTTCCCAGGAACAAAGCAAGGTGGGGACTTGACAGTCCCTCTCCACCTCTCCTTGGGGTCGATGCTCACACCCTCTGTCCCAGCTTCTACAGTGGCCTGACATTTGGTCTGAGAATGAGGCCTGGGGTGTTTACTGTCCTATGTAGAGAAGGGATTGAATGGGGACAAGGACTTGTGAGTGTGTCCTCTACGAAGTGATAGGAGAGAAAGAAGCTACTGGAACCTCCTACACCCAGGAAAATCCTTAGCAGTGCCTTGGGGGCCATTGCGGTCCCCAAATCCAGACACCCACTGCCCCCTGGTGGCTCAGATGGGAGAGCCTGACAGGAGGGGAGAGATCCATGAATCACTGCTCTGCTTCCCCAGTTCACTTCCTCCACCTCTTTGACAACTCTGAACTTGTTCCTTCCCCACCCCAACTTTTCCTTCTAATTGACTCTGAGCTCCCTGGCTCAGTTCCCGCAGCTCCATCTGGAATGGAATGTGTCACCCACCACACCTGCTGGCCAAAATACCCCTCCCTCAGGATCAACAGCTTAACCAGGGACCCTTGTCAATGGATCACTGTTTGGGAGGCAAGTCTCTGTTGAGGGATCGGGAAACACTGGGAGTAAAATGAAG